AATATTATGTTAGCATTAGCAGATCTCCGAAGCCACCAGATGAACCGTTCTCTCAGAGCCGTAATTCTTTTCCTATTATTAGCATCCCTAACTCATTCTCTCACTTCCTGCTTTACACTTGCTATGACCGTTTCTCATCCCATGGAAAACAGCCTTTAAAACCCCATCAGCGCCTTTATCAACGCTTGTTATTAAGTGATGTTTCTCGCTTTGAAAGCCGGAGCGAGTCCCGTCTCCGTGACGGGGCACGCTGTAACTGATCTACGGTGGAGCTGGACGCGCGCGGTACAAGCCCCGTCCCCCTTTCTTATTAGAGCAAGATACGAAATAAAGGCTTTTAACAACGACATTAAACGTGAAGCGCTACTGCAGCGTTCAAATGCGACCGCCTCGTCATCCCGCACGAAATTACATAAAAGACAAGCCCCTGATGCGGCCTGTTGTAACGTCAGTGTTATTTGTCCGTCTTAAAACGGAGCCTCTTGAGACATCAAACGCCTGGCAACCCGTCAGCTGCAGATAACTTGAAGACGCTTCCTGTTTATGGGTAATAACTGTGCTCTGGGCTAAATCAAATCTCTAGCCGAGGAAGCAATGCGCATTAACCTGCAATATGATTTTTTTTTTTCCCCCAGCAGCAACAGCAACGCTTACGCAATTTCACGCTCGAATGTAGAATTAACTCACATGTTTTTGAGCTACCTGGCGAGTAAAAGCATGTCTGTGGGGTTCTCGCTAGCAGGAAGGCAGACAGCCGCAGCAGCTCAGCGGGACGGTGCGCGGGGTAACGTGACAGGTGCCATCTTCCCGCCAGCCGCGCCGCAGCGCGGGCCCCGCTGACGGCGGCGGGACGGGGCAGCAGCCATTTTGCTCCGATAATCCCCGCCGTCAGACTTGCCTGTGGGTTGTGAAACGTAGGCTGGTCCCAGCGACCCGGCTCCCCTTCGTCGTCGTCGTCTACTGACTGCCACGTTATTTTTTCGTCCCTCTGTTTTACAGCAAATGATTTGTGCTTAATTACCACAGCCAGATGGGATATTTAGCGTATCAGCCAAGTTGTTTATATGCAAGGACCGTAAATTTAGAAATATGAGGAAATGCAGCGTTCTCTACGTCCAACCCCTCGCTCCGTGAGCATCAATGCAGTCCTGTCCCCATCGTTTAGAATTCCTCTTAAACCTAACAAAGGATTTTGATTGCCTTACTCCCCTTCAAACCCTTTCTCACACGAAGAAAGAGAAAGCATTTATGGAGGTACATAGCTCCGTGCCTAACTTCCGCAACTTCCCACTAAAAAGGAAAGATTAAATATTTCCCTGAAAAAACAATACCCAAAATAAATTGCATTCGGTTACTGAAGTATAGTCACATTTACCTTACTTTACTTATCTGATATTACCTTTTTTTTTTTTTAGCATATATAGAAACTCATACAGTATCAGGAGGATGTTTATTTTAAGCAGTAGTCTTATTCTCTAATTTCAGTCTTTTGAGATTATTACTGCCTCGAGAAACAAGCACAACTATGCTATTAGTGCTTCAGAAGCGCTGACAAATGCTTACCTAGATAAAGAAGGAAGTAGCTTGATTTCATTTAGCCTCCAATATATTTGGTACATTCTTCCCATATATTCATTCTCTCTCTCTCTCTCTCTCTCTCTCTGTGCCTCTCACTTTAAAATAGTCAGCAAAACCTGTTTTCCCAGGTACTTGGAATCATGAAGCTAAGAGAAAAACTGGTCTTTCAGACAGGTAGAAAACACTTGTTAGACAAATGGGCAATTTGCTTTTGTCTTAAAGCTTCCTTGAAAATATTAATTTTGCCCAAGGCTAATCTGGGTTTATTTTTACAAGCTATTTGTGTGAGCTTTTACTGGACAGTTAACTTTGGTTTTGAATCTTAAGCCTATGAAGCACTGAATGGTAGGCACTGATTAATTTTTGAAAAAAAAATAAATCCAGACGCACAAACTATTTCATCATTGTCACCCTTGACAGGCCTGGACATTAGAGCATTGCTACAGCCCCTTCATGATAAATTCTGCTTATCATCTGAGGAAACTATTCAATATCAACATGAGATATACTATCTATTATAAGGTGGGAAGGTCTTTTTTTCCAGCATTCTGTCTTGGAACTATCATACGCTTTCCTGGTTGCTTAAAACATATGGGAAGAAACTCTTGTCAGGGAATTGTCATCGTTCCAGTGGCTGATCTATACATACACAATCCACATTATAAGATCATCTTCCCAATACTAACATCTCTGTGGAGAGCTTAATTACTGCTTCTGGATCACTGGAATTCTTATTTATAAGTTCAGCTACTGAAGCAATGAGTATCTTTTTAGCTTAGGACTCTCTGCTACCAAAAAACCATCTTTCATCTCGTGACAAACTAGCTGTTCCTGTCAGTATTCTTATGGGAGGTGGAACAAATAGTTGAAGAACACAGCAGTATTGACTGCAAAAGCAAAGTGCGTCCCGAAGTTTTCACAACCTTCTTTTTTATTCCAACCTGAGTAGCAAAGTTCTATACGCACAAGTAGGTTACTTTTAATTTTGGACTTTGTCTATTGCTTATTTACTATTGTTTCTTTATTATAGTTGAGGTGTGTATATATATATTAATATGTATTAATGAAGATTTCTGACACAAGTACCGTAAGAAGTATTTGTCACAAGTGTGTTGTCAGTAACAATACAATAATATGGATTAAATTAAACCTGTTGTAATCCTTTAAAAGAAATAAATGCATTACTGAACAACAATAAATACAAGCATCTTTTTAGATTACATTAAACAAATTAAAGGAAGATTAGGTTATGAATTCCCCCTAAATCTTAATTAAAATTGATTATTTTAAATTGTTTTGAAAAATCAGCTGCATAACCATCATTTGTATAGTAGATACCCCCAACTTGGAGACAATTTATTTGTACTTGACTACTTGATGCTCTGGCAGTCTTAATATCTATAGACAATATAACAGATTTGGAGAAAACTGACTCATCTTTTTTCTTTCTTTCTCTTTTTTTAATTGATAGGGTGTTTTCTTAAGACAACTTCAGCTCATCCACTAAAAAAAAAATCACCTTTTCTGTGACTAGTACTGCAATTAAAGGTACTAATTTCCATATATATATATATAATCTGAGCTATTTGGAATTCGGTCCCATCAGCTCCTTGTGTATTAAAAATATTCTTCAGAGTAAGAAATTCTTTATAAGGCCATCTTGGCTGCACCTAAGATTCTACGTTCCCACTATAATGTTTCATGTAAAACCAATTGCATGCAAAGAAAATGGAGCAACTGGTGCTGCACTCAAACCTACGTGAATGGACTACATATCCGTGAGAAGTCAGACAAGACTTATCTGCAGCCGCAGTCCTGATTTCAGGGTGTAAGCCACCATACAAATTATATACTTCAAAAATAGCAGTTTGCTAGTAGACGTGTATCAATTGCCATTAAACATATAAATGATTGCACATAACATCACACAAATACTATGTTCTTTTTAAACAGAAGTCCAAGTAGTTTAGCAGTGGATTACTTTTTATATGGTAAAATTGCAAGGTTATAGAGAAAATTGTCAGCAAACTTTTACTTCTTTGAAAAGTATAAAACAGTTACAAGGTTACTGAAGTGATGGTGTTTGGATGCCTGGCTGAAGTCTGATAATCTCACTTCTGCAACTCACGGCACACTTAAGAGTATTTCAGACTGCCTAGGGAAAAAAGTTCCAATGTTCCTCTCCAGTCAAGCAGTTTCAGTTCTTAAACAACAGCAGGGAACAACATATATAGCATTACCAACTCCAGCAAATTCCTCACGAGTGACAGGGTTTTGGCCAGGGCTTGACTGATTTCCTTCTCAGTGCCTAGACCAGGCCAGCCTATCCATGAGAAAAAATGCTTGAATGGACTGTCATCTTAATTGCTGTCACTGCTGGGGTCAAAGCAGCCAGTGATGCTGCTAAGGAGAAAAACACAGCTCCTCTTCACCCCTCAGGCAGACCAACACTTCACTCAGAAGTGGGGCGCAACAATGACTCAGCAGCCCAAAGCGGCTTTGCTCCCCTTTCTGTTCCATGAGCAGGGGAAAGAGCTCCTTTGTTTAACCTTTCTCCTCTTCTCAAGCATCAAGTGGAGGGAGAGGAAGGGAGAAGGAGCACAGTTACGGAGACCTGCAGCAGCTGCCTGCTCCTCCAAGTCTGGTTGAGAGGAGAGAAGCCTGGCAGAACTCATTTTGCTCTCAAACTGTGCAAGCTGTGCCTGTGCACCGAAGGAAGTCTTTCTCCAACATATGTTGCCTTCTTACAATCTAAGTGTGGCCTAATCTGCGTCCCATTAACACTAAACAGAACGCATACAAGCAGTTTTTAAAAGTATAACGATACCTTTGTCTTTCCACCAGTCTGAAAAAGAAATGAAGCAACACGAGTATCTGACATAAATTCAAATTCTTTTGCACAAAATACAAAAGCTTATGTTGTGCTGCTACTAAGAATCAGCTGACTTTACATCTTGCTATCTCTGAACAATCTCAGTATTATTTTCCATCTAAGTCTTTAATTTTTTTTTATGTGCTGCTGACAAGCCACTTTCTAGCCTCCTACACTTCTGGGCCATATCACAATCCTTAGCTAGCACAGATCAATTGCAATCATGAAGCTATGTTTACGGACAGAGTGACAACAACAGACATTTTTCTGTTGTTGACTGCTGTCAAATGTAGTAATTTAAATATTTTAATATCTTTAAACAAAAGTAGCAAATTAAACATACAAATTTTATTTTGGACAATTAGTATGTGCTATTCTGTTCCCCATTCAGTTACCAGAAAGACAAAATAAAAGTAGTTGAACCCAGCCTCTCATTTTCCACTTTTCATTTTATATACAGATGAATACCTTAAGAAGGGCCAAAAATAACCTGGACATAAGCTTGCTGGTCAATAAACAAATTTGTCAAAACTGATCTTATATATCTGAGCTTCTTTTAAACCCAGGAATATAAACAAAAATAGTACTATACAAACACTTGCACAAAAAGCACCAGTACTGTCTAAATGCTACATCCAAATCTTATTCTCAAAGTCCCTGAACAACTGCCATTTTGACTACTTCTACAGCTTTTTCTCTCTGCCCCACTGCCTTTTTCTGTTGTTGTTAGAAGACAACACTTGGTCCACAAGCAACACCGGTTTCATTTTTATTTAACGGCTTTCATTTGTCGTTGTGTAAAACAGTACAATCATACTTGCTTCTGAACGCTGGTGCAAGATTCAAATTTAGAATGCCTGAGCATTTCTGAAAGACACCATAAGCCTTCATTTTCATCCATATTTTGTCTTAAAGCAGTGCTGTAAGTATTCAGAATCTTGGAGAAAGGGTTCAATTTGCAGACCAAGCCTACCGTGCCAATTTTGTCCAGTTATTGCAGGCCCAATTTAAAGCACAATGAAAAATCACACAAGGTATTTCCACTGAAAACATGAGGGTTTTAGGTTAAAACCTTTGAGTATTAAGAATCCACATTGGGTCATGCCCAGAAATCTTTTTATATGGTGATTTTCAAGATGCATGCATTATTGTGAGCACATGGTATGTAAATGCATTGGGCTGCTTAATAAGCATTCACTGACACACATCTGCAGCTTTGCTAATGTACCTTTTATTCGTATGTGGTTGCCAAGGAAACAGGTTATGGCCCAGTATTCTACCTAAAATATACTGAGCAAGTGTTCTATGATAATTTACTTAAAATAGGTACAACTTAGATTTTGTAGCCCATTGCTTCTGTAAATCTAGGTAACTTGAATTTATCTAATTTTAATGTTTCACTGATTAGTTTAAACCATCGATGCCATCTTATTGTCTCTGAAAATCCATTACCATTTTCTACATCATACAATATTGTGTATTAAAAGTAAACTTAACTACAGAAAATATCGAGATATTTAAGAATTGAAAAGGTGTTTGGTTTTGTTTTAAATTCGGTTGCTTATCTTGTATTTTGCCTTAGTTACTTATTTCTATTTACAAGAAATCACAGCATTAATGACTGTGATGCAACAAACTGTTTCCTACACAAATTTGTGCATACACTGCCACTGAAATCAATGAAACTACTCCCTTTTTATAACATAAATAATACTCTATGATACAAAGAACTACATTCAAAATTAATGAATTAATCAGGATTTCACTCATTCTTTCATTCAAAACACACGTATCTCAAATCTAAAGCACAGATACCAGACATACTTATTTTAACCAAGATGACTATTGCACATTCACAGTAAGAAAGGAAACTGCTAATATTTGAAAAAGCCATGCAAAATGTGAAACTCTTACCTTGAAATATCCTATTTATTACAATACTATACTTGCATTTACAAAGTGCTCTTTACGGCTCACAATTCAAGAGATTTTTTACTATCCCTGATTACAGTAATGTACTAAGGTAGAGATTAGCCAGTTTTTGATGAACTACATACAGCTTAACCAAAACAACAGTATTAGAAATGGGCATTGTACTAAGAGAGTTCCTCTACCTTCATTATATGGCACAGATTTGTAATGGACTCTAGTGACTGGGATCCAGACTTCACAGAATTCTGCCAAGCTCAGGAGGTTTGCCTGCCTGCCAATATGTTTGGTTTGTACAGCTCATCGGAGGCTATAACAACCTGTTTCAAAGATCTGTTCTGCCTAATTTTGTTTGTCTGACCTCTATGGCAATAAAATTCCAGCAGGAGCTGGAAAAAAATCCAACAATATTGACATGAGAATAGGGCAATGCAGTACCATAGCAAGAACAACTCTTGGTAGAACTGGAAAAAACCCAAACATGTAAAACAGTGGTTTTAAAGTGTTAAATATTTTAGCACTATTTCTCTGTGAGTTTTAAAGATATTT